GTTTTTGGCCTAAGATCGTATGCAGCTTGTCCTACCCAAACGGAGCTGTGGGTTAGAAAATATATATTTTGCTTTTTCCAGTGCACATGAAACATCTGCGACCATGTGCTGCTGATGGCTCTGCTGCGTCTGTGGCATTTGAAGTGGCCAGATGGTCAGAGCTGCTCTTCTGTGGGATTTAACTCAACACAGGCCTTTCTGATTGCAACAAGATACGAACATCCAAGAGATACCAAAAGTTGTCTCTTGGTTTCATGTGCACAGTACCAGAATAACTACTGGACACTGGACAGTGGAAGACAATGTGAAAGAGAGGGTATAGAAAATGAAATTACTTTATTCAGTAGACTCTCTACCAGGTGAGTCACAGACTTCGTGCATTTGGGAGTTTCTTTTGTAGGGTTAGCATTTGGTTACACGTCACCACACAGAGCTTTCATATTACTTTTCACCACTGGAAACCCCATAATCTACAATCAGACCAAACATTCCATCTGTCTGTTTTTCCATATGCCTGTTCTGGCACCCCTCTCCATATTTTGGGAGAGTGAACCCAGGTTAGCCTCCAGAGGGTGACTGGACTGTGTGCGCTGACGTAACACATGCACAGCTTGAAAAGACATCAAGATTAGAAGCATATTGAGACATCCGAGGCACACCCATGATTTATGTTCTGACTCTAGCTCCGATATTGTAAAACATTTACTGTTGTGTCAAATTGGTTGTTTCTGACACAGTCCAAATTGGTTTGATGCATTTGACACATCTGTGCCCACACTCACTGTGATATTGATGCTGACAATTATTTTGTGATAATTAAACATATATTGTCAACAGTTAACAGTAACAGTGCTATTAACATACTTTGTGCTAGTCTCCAACCTGTGAGTCAACACTCAGTTTATATTCTGCTTTTTTAATGTTACATTATTGATTCAGTCCAAATCTTGTGGTGGTAAATGACTCCTAAAGCTACAGGTAAAGTTACCCTTGGGGTAAGCTGACAGAAACAAGGCTGCCAATCTCTGCCATTGGACTTCTCTGACCACCACCTTTTCACTTAGCAGACTCCTAGCAAGGAGTAGGATTCCTCTGATATTTGGGTTGGTGGACAGGTTTAACCACTACCACTCCGGGTACCTATCATTTATAGATGAGTTATAGTGACATAGACTTTGTATTGTTAGCTTGACAGCATATGAAAAGTAATTAACTAAACATTGCTGTCTTGATAATGGATTTGACTTATGTTTAGAAACAAACTAATGTAATGTCTAAGGTGTACAATGAAAAAATAAGAACCAGCAGTTGGCTTCAGACAGGGCTTATGCTATGTGCTAGAATCTCTGTCTTCTTTTGGCTGTAGCTCTTTGAAGTGAGGGTCTGTTCTGTGTCCGCAGTTCCAGACGCTGCCAAAAGACATTTTCCAGAGTGTCTTCACTCCGCCTTTAGAAGTATGTCTGACTTTCAGTGACTATGTAAGACAATAGATACAGTTTTGTATGTCTGAATGATCCTAGCATCATCACTGAACAGGGTGAAGTTGTCTTTTGCTTAAGCATTTGAAGCACTACCAACAAACTGTGCTGGACTATATGAGATGTGACATGACTTTAAAGGTCCACATTCCAAATATGGCATGTTGTGAATAAGCCTATTTTTGTCACTTTTGTCAGAACATCAATCAGAGGAGATTTTTATGCTGCATTTAAATGCACTGCCTTCCTTCTTCTCTTTTTTGCCTGTTTAAGTGGGCCCAGTTTTCATATGGAACTCATTTGTGTCTCATGTGAAACACAACAATCCTGTGAAGACTGAAGCTAAGTGCCTCGTTGGCATCATGCATAGACTTAATAAGTTAGAAGAGATGCTGAAACACTGTCATCAGCATGAAACCATAATCCATAGGTGAGACAGTAAACTATGTACTAACCATATCACCAGACTCCTGTCTAATCAAATGAGTCTGTCTGCTGATTTGGTTTACGACATAAGATGGTTTATGTGTTGTGGTTAATGCTGCCCTTTAGTGGTGAAAGCGAAACAAGCTTTGGGCATGTTTTATTACACTAAGTGAAAATGCACTCCACTTTTTGCTGTAACAACAGGTTAAAAAGCTTCACATGCTGATACCGATGAGATAAAGTAAGAAAATAAATAAATTACAAAGAATAAGGAGCAAAAACTTTGATTCTGTTGTTTTAACCCAGTTTCAGCACAAAAATATGGCCACCATGTGGACCCTCACTGAAAGCATGGCCCCAAACTGGGCCTAGCCAATCAGAATAGAAATGGCAGAGGAAGGCGGGACATGAGGAGGGTCCAAAGCTGTAAACCCAAGAGCAGAAATTAAATGTGTGAGAGCAGAGCCAGCACACAGCAGCTACATCTCCACAGGAGCGAGTCTGTCCACCAACCAATGGACACAGGTTAGACCATTGCATCTGTTTCATGATAATATGTTTGTATTCAATTTGCAATCTCCAAGAAAATCTGTGTGATTATATATGCTCTGGTGTGGAGTGTTGTAGATACTGAGCAGATGTGAGGAAGTGTCATGAAATACTGGCCACTTAAGATATGGAAAAGCTGACTTAAGACTTTCGGTTTGATGTGCTCATTTTACTACCAAAGGGTTTTTGTACATTAAAGGTTATGAAAGGAACATACTGTCTACACCAATCTCATCTTCTGATAATTTCAATTTCAGAGTTTGTCACTATTAACTTAATAAGAGAAGAAGTTCAACTGTCCATGTTTTGCTTTACATAGATTTCTTTTCCTTCTCAACAGTGGTATTTGAAATGCAATCATTCCTTGTCCATTTTCTATAATGGGGAGTTTTGTGTCCTTCATCATGTGCTCCCTTCTTTGACCCCAAAACAAATGCTCTCCATGGTGACACTGGATTTGGTTAAGGCATGTCCATAGTCATGCAGATTGCTTCCTGTCAGTGGCTGTGTGGAAAGCCACTTCCTGCTGTTGATTTGATAAGGGAAAGCTTCCATTGACAAAAGTCACAGTTTGGTCAGAACAATTTAAAATAAACTTATTTACATGGAAATGGTTAGTCCCCTCTAACCTTGGTGTAACACTGACACAAGAGACCTGGTTTGGGGCACCATGTGTTGAACTGTGGGGTGTGTTGGGATTAATGATGGGGACTCACTCTGATGTATGTGTGTAAACCGATCCTGAAATAATCCCCCATCTCTTTCTGGTTACTCATATAGTATAAAGGCCATTGTAAATTTAACTTAGCACATGTTCAGTTGAATCTATCTTGAGAAACAATTCAGTCCAAGTGTGTGTCTGGTGAGAGCAGACGTCTGAGCTGTGTGTGACCAGTGTGTGCACATGAATAGAAACTGGCATGTGCAGACATGTGCCACTACAGCTGACCCACATTTGAGCTTGATAAATGAAGGTAGGCACTGTATACACACAACAGTAAAACATTCAAGTAAGTCTCCCCATGAGGTCAAAGTTTAAATGTCCTGCTCTTCAAAGTGGTTCATGTACCATTGACATTCCTCCCCAGATGGTTTGAATTGTTTTAAGACAAAGATGTTTTCCAACTATATTCCTGTCAGTGAGAAATGAGTTTTAGCAACTGGCTAACAAATATGACTTACATACTCATACTGTTTAACATCCCTGAAGATTTCAATGCTCTTTGGCCCTGGATGGAGAAGCCTTTCACAAAGAGCTGTCCACATCAAAAGTGTGTTTACAGGCTGAGGTAATGAGAGTCCTTGTGATTCACAAAATGGATTTTGACCAAAACAGTTCAGTGTCAGTGTATGTGCTTATGATTTATTCTATAACGTGTTTCAAACATTAAAATACACACCGCCCTACAAACAACCTGGTATTTCAGTCTAGTTCTGCAATGGACAAGACCTGGGCAAAAAAGGAGAGGAAAGTATTGTTTATGTCAAAGAAAAGACCGAGATGATGGTTTGTCTAGTTTTCTAGTCTACAGACTCACACGCTGAAGCCCTCTCACTGGGCTCTCACCACAAGTCAGAGCTCTGGAGCTTGACCTTTAGTTAAGGGCACACCAAGAGCCAAATAAGTGGGGAAAAGCAATGAGGCCAGTACACGTGTCAACTGTGACTCTACTGAGACTGTTGTCTCTTTGTCAAACACCAGTCACAGATTAAATAACAAGACAGACTGGAGTGCAATGCATAAGAATCAGATAAGTCAAGACTTTTGTTTGCTTTTATTTCAAGTAGCTTGATGTATGGGAGTTAAGTGGAGGGTGTAGTGTCCACTGTTCCATCAGTGTGAAGATCCTGACTTTGCAGTTTACCACAGCTGATGTCAGAGGTTATCAGCGGTCATATAACAGCAGAACAGTCAATGGATTATCAGCCTACGGCCGACCCCGGGTCAGCTGTATGGGCTGCCTGATGAGGGGCCCCAGGCTTGTTTTTGTGTCTTCATCTGCATCCGCTTCTGCCTCAATTTCCCATTTCCACTGATATTTTAACTTTCTACTCTCATTTTTTATGCTGTTTAGCAGTTAGACCATTACTGTCATGAGGGGTAAAGTATGTTTTGTTCTGAGCGCTACAAATAGAAATGGTTAACTTTATACAAACACATTCCCTGACAACTCATTAGATCCTCCCATAAAGAAACCACTGCTTCCTCCAGTCTGCTATTTCCACTATATCACAATTCAGAAAGACCAAAAAAAAAACACAAAATGACAACATTTTTATTTAAAGATAAAAAATAACCTTATTGGTATATTTCTGTTTTTTTCTCTTTTAGGTGTGTCTGATGTGATGCCAGCAGGCTGGCTCAAGGAACTCACCTTGAGTACGATGTAGACACCAAAAATAATTAGACACAAAAGTCTAAGGACCAACGAATTAAAGGAATAGTCCTTCTCAAAAAGAGAAGAAGAGAAAGAGTCTGAATAGTTCCCTCAGTGTCAATCACACACACCTTTCTCCTGCTGCTGAATCTGAAAGCTGCATCAGAGGACCATCATCATCATGTGCCATGTCATTGTCACCTGCCGCTCCATGTTGTGGACTCTGCTCAGTATTGTGGCTGCGTTTGGGGAGCTCATCGCCTTTATGAGTACAGACTGGTTAGTGGGATATCCACGCACTCCAGACGCAGTCTTTGGCCCCCATGGGGCTACCACTGCAGGAGAGGCATACAGGCCCACACTTGGAATCTACGGCCGCTGTATCAAACTGCCTCACTTGCAGAGGGGCATCCTTTGTGGACCATACGCTGTACACTTTGGGGAGATAGCCAGCGGGTTCTGGCAAGCTACATCAATTTTCCTGGCAGCAGGAATCCTGCTCTTATGTTCAGTGGCATTCATCTCTGTTTTCACTATGTGCTTCCAAAGCATCATGAAGAAGAGCATCTTCAATGTCTGTGGACTTCTGCAAGGGATAGCAGGTGAGAACAAACCACTCTAGATCTACTAACAGAGACAGAGTTATTGTTTCCTTTCATTCCTGTGGTCTTCAGAGTCCATCAAGGTGAATTAAAAATGCTGGTTTCAGTTGAACACATTCATTTAGAATGCCACAACTCCCACTGACTGAATTATGTGTTTTACTTCATGGCGCCTTCAGTGAGCAGGGCTTTTCACAATGACACAAGGTCTTAAATGTCAGCCGTATATATATTTACTTTACCTGTCCTGACCTTCTTGCCAGCTTACCGGTCAACTCAATACATATTCTTTATGCTCTTATATATGGATACATTGTTGTTGTTTTTTTCAGACCACTAGTCCCTCCTTGCTGTAGTGAGCAATGGGAGGGAGGAGGCTATGAGCTCATACAAGACTCCTCTCCTTTCACAGACCGTGACTCTTAGGTCTCTGGTGATTATGGCTGTCCTCCCCTCAGTTGTTTATTTGGTTCAGACTCAAACAAAAAGGTGGGTGTGTGGTGAAGGCCAGGCTAAATTGTAAGCTTTAGCTCAGAGAGCTACAACACAGCAACTATAGAAAAAACAAAAAACAAAACAATGAACTGTATCTATTTCACAAGATTATAAGTAATTTTTTTTAAAGACATTGATATTCTATGTGTGCCTCTTAACAGCACTGTTCTGTTGGTTATTTCCTGTTAGATTTTAGAGTTTTGTTGATAATGAAACTGAGGAAGTGAAATGTGTAGACTCCTCATTGTGGAGCGGTGAGGATGTGGAGGAGGAAGAGGCGACCGAAGGTTCAAACAGTGGCGGTTGGATTTCCTTTGTGGCTCTGGAAACAAAATGACCACATCTTTTCATCTGGACTGCAGGATGAGATAAGCATAAACAAGCTGCTGTCTAACTGCCAAATGGGTTAATGCTCCAAATAGCATGTATATCCACATATTTATCTGTCCACTGAGCTTGACCACCCTCAGGTAATGAACAAAACGTAGCCATACTCCTCTGGTTTGCTTAAGTTATGGATTTCAGATGGAATGTTAAGCAATATTGTCTGGTGATGCCAGAGTAACCCTAATATTTACACAGAATAAAGTAAAATCTGCTCTTTAGTTTGCACTTTATCTGACATAGTCCCATTGTGTCATATCTGGTTGATCTATGTTGAAAGCCATTTGAATGAGATGTAAAGGTAAAACATTTGTGTAATTTATGCAAGTTCTGTCCCTTTATCATCCTGACAAAGTCAAAGACTTTGTTAATTTAAGAGACAAGATGTCAAACAAAAACAGTTGTAAAATGTCTCCACTCTTTGTGTAGGTGTGTTTACATATTTATGACTGATCATAAAAAACATGGACCAGTCATTGACTCTGTGACACAAGTTACCATAACTGATGTGCAAAAATGTTTTCCTGCATTACAGTAATACCATGACAATTTACTACATGGTATACTTTTATTTCTGCAGGAACAGTGCTCAACAACAATAAAACAAAGTCTTAGTGAGATACTTCCAACTTAACACATGCACATACACACATGACCATTGACCTGGATCCTTATCATTCAAAGCCACATTGATCCCAAATACATTCTACTATAATTCTCTTCCAAAAAGTCCTCAAGCAGTATAGTTGGAACATCTGGTTCAAAGTGAATAAAAAACACAAAACAACAAATACACATTTTCCCTCACTGTCAATTTTTAACAAGACCTTACTACTGTACTGTATTGTAGATTACTGTACTGTTGATGTTTGGAGTATAGAATACCAAATTTTAATAAAAGTTTTAATCTAATTTGTAACCTGCAGCAGTTTAAGTGTCTTAATGTAATATTTACTAACCTGTATACATACATTTAAAGAAGATAAAAGTAATTGCAGAAATCCCCTCTTTAGCCACCCATCAGTTTTATTCACCTCTGTGATTAAATGTGGTTTGTTTGCCCTGACATCTTCCCTGTCTGTCCATGTGCTTCATGAGAGATTGACCCAGCCACTGTTTTCATCCAGGAGAAAGGATAAAGTCTAGATTTCTTGGAATGGTATGGAAGCCTGCTGGGCCATATTACAGGGTACAGTCAATGGGAAGGTTAACTGGGAGGTGTGGAATCACCTATCAGCAATTTTGAAGATAAGGAATTGACAAGTTTGGAAGTGAACAGTGACAAAAGCCAGGGTAGAATGAGCTGTGAGGCTGGGAAGGGTAGGGGGTTGAGGGGTAGAAAGGTCCTCTTATTGGGGGGGAGGGTCACTGTGTGACTCACAGTGTGTTGTGCGTATTAGGAGGGGGCTGAGAATTAGAACCATACCTTCAATCCATCACTGAAGCCGGTCTGGACGTCAGAGCTGTGCAACATGTGGAAAGAATTTATGACCTAGTTTTCATTTCCTTGTTTAATACAATATTGGTGCTCTAAGAGAATAGGAGAAGAGGAGGAGAAGAAAGAGGAAAAAGAGGTAGATTTGGAGAATATATCGCTGGAGAAGTACTATGAAACAGCACATTACAGGGCGACATAAAACTGAAGAAAAAGAGATAGAATTATGAATAAAGGGAATTGAATTAAAGAGGCCAGTGGATCATTTGTTTTTTGTTTTCTTACACTAAAATTGTGTTTTCAAAGATGAGATTGTGAGAGAAAGACCTGTTTATAGAATATGTGTCAGAAAGGTAGTGGAAGTAGGTCACACAAAGTCAGGAAGTGCCCCTCTACAGAGGCAGGACATGAGGAAAACTAAGAGGATCCACTGTCCTGTTCTCTGCCATACACTGCTATTTATTAAAGCTTGAGCCTGTCTTAGCCACATTTCCTTTGGTGTTTATTAAATCTAAATGGCACTGCAAATCTGCAAATGGAAATATTTGTGGCAATCACAGTTATGATTTTGATTGTCAGTGACAATATGTTGCTGAAGTAAAATTCTGAAGTAGTATTACATACTCTTTATTTGTAGTATTTATTTAATTTATTTTAAACTTTGTGTCTTCACTTTTGAGTACTAAATAGACAGCCCCCACAGTGCGTTGCTGACTTGCTGTGCCCTTATTCCGCCGGTCCTCCGGCCAGGGCCTTCTCATTGTCTCAAAGACTTGTTTTAAACAGACTGGAAGGCCCTACCCCTAGCCTTTCATGAGACCAATTCTCTTTTAAGAAGCAGCTAAAAACTCTACTTTTTAGATAAGCTTTTAGCTTACTGGGTTGTTACTTCATTAAAAGTGCTATACAAATAAAATTGAACTACTTACTTGTGAAATCAGTTTAAATTAAGTTTCATTATGATTATATGCGTACAAGCTAGCCAACGTGGTCTTCTGTAGGAGGCAGACTCAGAAAAATGTCCCATTCAACCAAAAATGTGTTCACCGTGGCAAAATGTGGCAAAATGTGTACTCCGGGCATATCAGGTTATAGTGATGTACCCCTGATGGACTTAACCAGCGTACTTTTATAGTCTTCCCAGCAAGAAGGACCTCCTCCAATTCTTCTCGCAGGTGACAATTACATTTTAAATGTAACAACGTCTCAAACCTTATTAGGGCATTTATGTGGGCCTAACAAAACAAACACTGTAGCTTAGTTGAATGTTTATGGCAAAATTATGGTAAATGAAAGAACTTTTTTGGCAGTGTTTTATAAAAATATACTTAAAAAATACAAAAACAGTCAAGGTTCACAGAAGAACAACAACAAAACTTTGAACTTGATATTAAAAAGTATATTTAAAAATGTTTTATCAATATAATGCAAAGGTGTTCTTGTCTGTTTGCAGGATTGTTTCTCATCCTTGGGCTCATGCTGTACCCTGCTGGCTGGGGTTCAGATAAAGTTCAGCTGTACTGTGGTCCTGATGCTGCTCCGTACCGGGCTGGGCTCTGCTCCATGGGCTGGGCCTTCTACACTGCTATGGGGGGCACTGTGCTCACTTTCGTCTGTGCTGTGTTCTCTGCACAAGCAGAGATTGCCACATCCAGCGATAAAGTCCAGGAGGAGATTGAGGAGGGCAAGAGCCTCATCTGCCTCCTCTAGGCACTTTGATACAACATTTGCCCTTGTGCTTTGTTCCCATAAGGCCACTGTGTTGTTTACCACTAAGACTGATTCTATGTGTGGGAAAATACTTCCAATTATATTTTCCATTGTCTTTCTGCCACTAGAGGTGAAGCATTCTTCTGCCCACCTTGTCTTTTGTCATGCTCTGTAAACATGTGTAATTATATATTTGTACATAATTATGATGCAGAATGCTGATCAGCGTCATCCAGGCTGGGCTGATTCTGTCACTCTTGCCTTAAACACTGGTGTTTTTCATTTGTCACCAGACCATACGACCAGCAAACCTGGATCTTTTCTCATGTGCCAAGTGTGTGAGTAATAACAAGGGAACCACTACTAGTCTCAGTTACTCAATGGCCTAGTCTAGAGTGGAGGTCCTTAAAGCTAAGAGAATGTACTGTCCTTTGAATGATTGCAGATTTTTTATTGCATTATTAAAAAATCATATGGACTGCAGAAGTGCAAACAAAGCCAGCTCTATGATGCATTTTGTTTGTTCTTTTATTTTATTAATGAAGTGATCTTAAATCTATAACTGAGGCTAAAAGATCTGAATAAAGTCTGTATGTCTGGGCCTTTACAGATATCCTTGTATTTGTGCCCAAATATATGAACTTAACGATGAGGAAGAAGATGGTTTCTTAAGTATTGCTGTTATTATCAAATGTCTGATTTCAGGGAGAGCTGTCCAACCAGCAAACTGGAGTTTGTCTAGTCATAGTGTTTTGTCCATTCCAGTTTGTTTCTGCCAAACAAATAAAGAGAAGGGAAGAATGAGGTGGTCTCATTGTCATTTTGTATTCTTCTTCAATAAACACTGAAGAGGGGAATTTCAGTGTTTGGAGAAAGAGGTTTGGGTCTCTGGATAGGAAGGATATGTTTTCTATTCACTGGAAGATTGTTTTTTTTCCATTGAAACATAACATTACTCTCCATGTGTCTGTGTGCCTGCTTTCTAAAAGTTAACTAAAACACACCTATCCACTTACAAACTTATTTTGTTGCTCAAACGGTGAGCCTTGTGTATGTGCAATCAAAAAACTGCCAGTCTCTGCACAGATGTTCCTGCTTTTATGTGGACCAGGACAAGGCCTCTGACACAACCCTGTGGCTCCCTCTCTCCACCAGAGAGCTCAGTCTAAACAGCTTGATGACTTCCAGATTAGGCACAGGGAAATCATGCAATTGGAGTGCTGCAGAACGACTTTTCACTGCCAGATGCTTCAGTTTTGTCCTAGTTCTTTTACAAACACCGTGGATAGCAGGGACTAAGATTACATTTCAGGGCTGATGTTAAGAAAAAAAAACTGGATACTGAATGATATTTAAAATACATTAGTTGCATTAGTATACATGGCTCAGTTACACATTTTCCACAAAGTTGGAAAGAGGTTTACAGAAGCCCACAACTGGTTCATATACACGGTTCATATACATACAGTACGACGTACATATAGCAGTTAGTACTGTGCTTTAAACATGAAACTCACGTCCTTTTAGATATTTTTTTCTGGGCAACTGCTGACCTCTAATGGTTTTAGACTGCTAGTGCATGTCTGGAAGAAGGAAAAAAAAAAAAAAAAGGTAAATTAAACGCACTGTATAACGTTGCAAAATTCCTTTTATTCAGTCTGGATGAAATAAATATACAAAAAAACTCAGCATGAGCTTCATACAATACTTGTACAATGCAATATATAAGACAATAGCTGGTAATTGTACAAAATCTACACATTATTATGCATTTCTTCTGTTTCCACACAAAAATCAGAAGCTTTATGATTACAGCTCAAAGAATCATTTCAGTTATCTGGTATATGGTTATCCTCTATAGACTTAATTTCTAATTTTCAAGAGGGGCCTGTTAACCAGTATATAAATAAATTACTGTTCTTCATGGGTAATTGAAAATACAGTTAACTTTTCATAACCACAAATTTTAATTTTGAGGATTAGAAACAAAACAGAATCTGAGGTGGAACATTATTTTAATCTGTCATGTAGATGGGTAGTAGTAGTTGTCTCTTCAGAATAAATAATGATGTTCGCTAGTCTCCATTTAAACCTTTTTCAGCTGCAGTATTTAAAGAAACATACACAACACTCACAAATATACACAAACACACACACACACACTGAATAGGAGAGTGGTAATATGGGCAAAGTGCAGTACCAGTGCTGACTCCCCGAGTGTGAACAGTGATGCCAAGGCAGATAGAGTAAGACAAAACCACAGCCTTTAGTCAAGGCTTCCAGGTAATAGTTTCTTAGAGTATACATTAGGCAAGATGCTACATACCAACTGTAGTGCCCACATTTAAACCCAGAGGGCTGGAAAATACTGTGAGCAGGGCATTTGGCTCAGTGAAGGCTAGAGGCTGCTGCTGCTGCTGCTGCTGCTGCTGCTGCTACTACTGCTTAGTTAAAGCCAGGGGGCTCTTGAAGCAGATCAGACCTGCTCCCTGAAAGCCTCCTGAGTAGCCTGAGAAGCGGCCTGAGAGGCGGCCTGAGAGGCGGCTTTAGCAGCGGCCGTTTGAACATTCTTGTTGGACATGACACCAGTGGCAAACTCCTGTTGTGCCTTCTCAAAGCTAGCTCCAGTGGTCCGGTACATCGCATGGACCTGTGGAGGCATACATGTACAGGAAAAAGCATTTAGGATAAGCCCACAACACATCAAAACACAAAATTATTATGTGCATTTTTCAAGACCTTTTTGAACATGATGAGAGACATGACAGCTAGCGATGTGAAGAGGGCAGCTATAAGTATCATGAGAATGCCCACAGGAATGTTTTTATTTAGACATGTAAGAGCTGAAATCCAACCACTGTAAAATATGACATGAAAACAAGAGTAAATAAAAAAAAAAGAAAAAAAAAAAGATAATTTTATTTTAGCAAAGGCTAATATTTTTTCTTGAATTCAAAATTTAATGAAGGTCCCCTTTCTCACCTTGTGCCCCAGCCAGAAAGGCCTATAGACTGTAGTACATACACACCAACTTGACAAACGTAGACAAAAAAGAAAATAAAAAACCTAAATGAGCTGTCACTCCTGCAAAAAAAAAAAAAAGTATTCTGTTTATATTATATATTAATGATGAGGAAGCATTAATAAATGTTATATGTAATATTATAATTCAGTATTTGTTATTTAATTGTATTTAGTTTACATCACCTGAAAGCTCCATAAAGAGGACGATACCAACAGACAAATGAACAGGGAGTAAACATTAAGAACCAAAGAATGGACAAGCCAAAGTCCCCTCCGCGTCCAGTGTCCACACAAAACCAGGCCAGGCATCCAATCACATTTGCAAAAAGAGTGCTGGCATGAACTACAAAACATTAAAGGAGTCAAACATTACTGAAAGTAATGACACAGTGGCATATACACTGTGTCTTGCCATACATTTGACAGCAAAAACCCAGTATTACAATGTTGGACCAATGTGTGAAATATGGCATTTGCTTGTGCCTGCCATTTGGCATACCACAGATTATTCAGAAAAGTACATATTTGATGTGGGTATTAGCTTTAACCATAATATCAATCTGAATTTGACACTTGACTTTTGGTACAGTACACTTCTAATACTTTAGTATGGGCAAACTCATCACACAAACAGCCTTTTAACAACATCTGACTTCAACCACATGACCACATCATGAGCCCAGTTTTGTGTGCCATCACTCTTTTGAAAGCTGTTCATTTGTCTTAAATGCACTGAAAGTGTAAATGAGTTTTTCTCTGAGATAACGATAAAATCATGTTACTTACACATCCAAAGATAGTACATAATCTTGACAGTTTTCTGGAACTCTACAGGAATGTCTACTGTGATGTCATGGTAGAAACATGGACCCACAGGGAACTTCTCTGGGAGAGGTGGCCAATTGTTTCTCCTGCCTGAAACACAGTATAACAATATCAATATAATTTTAATTTTTTTTTTACAAATATTATAATGGTCTTCCCTTATCATCAGCAGTTTGGAACAGGAACTCAATGGATCTATTTATTTCTATTAAGTCAGCATTGTGGTTTAGATTTAAAATGTAAAACAAATGATATAAAAGAACACACTATGAACTCTAATCTGACCTCCTGAAGCATTGAGCGACTGCATCTCTCTTTCACGGCGGTCCAGCTCAGCAGCTTTGCGCTCAAGCTCCTCCTGTCTCTTGAGCAGTTCAGTGGCTCCCTGAACAGAAGCACATGATGTTTTATTATTTTAATATATCAAACACACACTGTGGTATACAGTATTGATGCCTATTTTGCAGATAGAATTCTATTAATATTTTCATACAACCTCAAGACTTTACTTTACTAAAAGTGCTGGTAATAATTCTGTAAGAATACCACAGAATAATAAGGTGTAATCTAGCTGTTAATCATGATGGCCAGTTTACCTGTGGTTGGCCCTGTGAGTATGCTGGGGGCTCTTCAGTGGCTTTCATGATAGCTGGTTGTGTGTTAAAGGTGGAGGCTGTAGTCCTGGCTGCCACACCTGCTGGACCCTACAGTATGAGAAGTATAATGTTTAACATTTTTACAGCAAAAATGACTGCATACACTAATTTTGAATTACTGAGTAACTATGATAACAAATTTGCTTTCAGTCGTACATTAATCAAAAGCATGAGCATCAGGGGTTTTTGTTCTTTTCTTATTTTGACTTAGACAAAAAGCAGTAACTGCCTTACCTGTTATTAATGTCTATCCAACACGCAAACAAAAAGATGCCTCTATTAGTATAAAAGTAACATTTTGACTCCTCAGTAAGATTCCTGACAGGTCTTATATGCATGCCTTTTTTTAAAAGCTTGAGTCCATGCCCCCCTGCTGCTCTCTGCATGTCCCTGAGCACTATCCTTTATGTCAATCTATTTAGTTGGAAAACAAACTATAATCACCGATTTGCCATCTGTGAACGGGTTGTACTCCTCTAATGCTGGAGGGACTGTGTACCTTGCTTGAGTTACTGATGGATCCTTTAAACATAAAGACAAAACATTAATAGATCAACAGATCTCCATGATACTGCGACTCATCCAGCCTACTGTCTCCATCTTTAATCAAGAGTCTACAATCTAGAAAGAATTTGTCAAGGTATATACATAGAATATATGAATACATAATACAAACAATAAGATATGTAACATGGGAATGAATGCATCCTCAAAAAATATACTTACCATCAGACAGGACAAGCACAGCACTAGATATTAGAATCTATCTATGTTGTATATCCTCTCTGTGATGATCAGTAAAGTCTTTTTCAGTTTCAAGTTGTCCTAATGTTATCTCTGTGTGTTTCTTAAGTTTCTGAGAGCATTCCTTCTTTACCCACCCACACACAATGCACAGGACTTGTCACCAGACCAGGGTCATCAATATTTCAGCATATGTTGCGTTTAAAGTTTAATACTGTCCTAATGAATAGTCAAACCAACAGATGCATATTTAGCACAATGAAAATATAACACCACCATTCTGTACAAAAGAGAAATACATAATTATAACTATAACAGCCCTGTGTGTTTTTTCTTGCATTGCTAGA